ACATATACCACATTTTATTAATCCACTCATGTATTGATGGACACTTGGGTTGTTTCCAAATTTTGCAATTGTCAATTGTGCTGCTATAAACAGGTCATTATAATTGAAAGATGAAATTCTAAAAAGAGAAGCATAGAGGAGCTGTGCAATGTGTGGAAGACCAAGCACACACCTGGGGAGAGGTACCTGCAGTATCCTGTGCTCCCCAAACTAGACCCTACTGCTGCCCTGAACCAACTCCAGGATCAGTGTGAACATGCCTCACAGGGTTTGCAAAATCCCCTTTCTGTAATGAGAACATGATGCGATTTTGCTGCATTCCAGTGTTACAACTTCAACGCTGCATCAAACTTTGGGCCTCAGAATCCACACTGCCTGTGACACTGTTGTGCATTAGCTGTGACATGAGCCTCACTCAGCTGAGGGGATTCAGGTCTCACAGATTGTCCAATGCAGCTGCTGCTTCCTCTGCATTGGGCCCAGGGTGCAAGAGTGGGGCCAAGCAGGAATCCACTGAAGTTAGTCCTTACATTTCCCTCTTGCCAGGAAGGTCCACACAGGCCCAGGTTCAGTCTATGGGGCTGCCACATGCTTGGCACAGTAGCCAGCCCTAATCTCTGGGGAAGTCACAATGTGAGTGTGAGTGGTCAGACCCCACTGTCCACTGCTGCAGGTGGCCCTGTGGTCACACTTAACATTCACTAGTGTCCCCTCCCACCTCCACTGTGGATTCTTCTCACTCACGGCCAGCACTTTGCAGTGAGGGTTGCTGTGTGTTCCCTGATGGAGTGCCTCAGGCCTGAGCACTGCCGACTTTGTCCTTGGTCACGTGGCAAACATCAAGCATGTGGTTTTACAATTGTCCTCCCCAGTGGTAATGCAATGGAGAAACCCACAGACACTGCCTAGCCCTGAGGGACTGCCCCTGCCTCCATGAATACATACAAGCTCAGCCTCAAAGCAGAGTTAATGCGTATCAGTGGGAGAGTGCCTTTCGCTTTTGACTGGTCCACAGTCATTAGGACTCCAATTGAGGGGCATCAGAGCAGGTCTCAGATTCAGGGGAGCACACTGTGCCCCCAGTAGGCATGATCCTCCCTGGGAACCAGGACTTCTAACCAATCACTGCCTAACATTGTGGCAGTAAGAAGAAAGATTTCAGAAGTTGTCACCAAGGTGTGTTGACAGGAATTTATCTCACCTGTACCCCTGATTACAGACCCAGGTGCCACAGCGCACTCTAGGGCCCAGCACATGTTGCATTCTTTTTGACCAAGGAATCCCTTCAATGGACCTTGGTGTAGGTTAATCAAGACCCACATGTTAATTGTTGTTGTTGCTTAGACTGCTGTTGGGATCTTAATAAACTCTTGGCATAAGCTTATTGGAAAAATAGGCCAAGAGGCGCAAAAGCTTTCAGGAGTTTTGCAGGTCTTTGCCTTGAAATAATCTGTGGACGTGTTAACTTACAGTATAGAAGCTGCTTCGATCAAAGTCAGGCATTGTCAGAGGATGTTTACACAGAAAAATTCCTCTTTGCTGATGGCCATCGCCCTGAGCTTTTTTGTAAGGCAGAGCTCGGGTTGGGTCTGTGGTCGAGAAGCTGATTAAAATACCTGCCCAGCAGATAATGTGCAGCTGGGACTATCCTAGACTTCGAGGCTATTCCTGCTTCACTCCTGACTACATGTCTCTGTGTTTAGAAGAAGTAGATTAGAGTAGTACACAGACTCAGCGTTCTCATTTTATACATTTTATCTTCAATTTATATTCTCAGCTACGTCTGCCTCTAACTTAGGCCTTACAATGCTTATCTTAGAACAATTTGTAACAGTCACTTCTTTTAGACAGAATTAGGTAAGTATCCCCTGGAAACCTCAAATAATGGGCTGTACACATCAGTCTTTAACAAAAGACAACATTTGCTTTAACAATAAGTACTGATGTGGGATTTCACTCAGGCCCCCTCAGCCCACGGGAATGCTGGAGGACCCCTGACTCCCTCATCACTTTAACGTGCAGTTTGTCTCTGTCTCAATTATTTCTCCATCTATATTATTTCTCTATTACTCTTATTTCCAAATCTATTGCAATGATCCTGCCTTGGGACCTGTTTTGCTGGGAGAGTGGCTATCTCCCAGCATAAGCTTACATGTAGAAGAGCTTTTCCAATATTTCCTTCTATAATTCTTCTGCTCACCACTCACAAAAATTAATTCATGGCAGATAACAGACTTAAACCACACCATGAGTTATCTCCCACAGCCAGTACGACAGAGGATCTCACACAGGACTGTTCCCCAGTCCCCTGTGAGAGGGCCTGGTGCAGTGACTGGATGGAAGCCTGTGTGGGAGGTGGGCCCTGCCTGTGTGCACCCCTGAGAGTGTCCTTGATTACGCCCCTGCTCAGACCATGGCCACCTGTAGAACATTTCTTGTTTTATATTAAAGGGTCATGTGACATTTGGGAGCGTGTTACCAGGTAATAAATTTCACCATCTTGGTTCTTTCTTCCTGCAGGCAGCACCTGTCACCAGCATGTGGGTGATTTATGAGTGTGTCGTCTGGCCTTGGCGAGAAGACCTGTGCATTGTATCTCGGCATTGTTAGAGTGCTCTCCCTGTGGAATTCCACTGACAGTCACGTGCATGGAATTAGCCAGTGGACAACAGTCATCCTGTGCAGCCAGTGACTCCAGCACTGCCCAGATGGTCCATGAATTAAGTGGCCACAGTGGCGTGGCTGGATGACACGCATCACCCAACTTCATGTACTTTCACCCACCAAGGCAGACTGAGGTCCTCCCTCTGCCTAATCTGAAGTCTGTGAGCAAAAGGGACCAGCAGTGACCTCAACAGGGCTCCTTAACTGAGTCAAGGAGTCATGTGATGGCAAATTCACTGAGACCTTTGACTCTGGGAGGTACAGCAACTCACCTTGACTGGATCCAGCACACGTGTGTGTCTTTCCAAACCTAAAGCCTCACTCAGGACCACTAGCCATGTGATTACCATGCATCCCATTCAATTAATGGTGTCAGCTTGACATTTCCTGGGGCCAAGGGCTTCACTCCCAGTAACAGACACTCAGCATGGGGTTCACCGGCAGGTGCTTGCCTGACCGAGAGGTTCACCTGCGTCAGTAATTTGGTGTGGCAGGTTTGTGGCCATCACGTCCAGTGCAATGGGGCTTCCCACTGATATGTGCATATTTCTCCTTCCTGTAGGGCACTGTACAGTCCCCCACGATGCAGAAAGTATGTAAATCTGTAGACATCTCATGGGAATGAACAGGAGCAGGAGTAGGCATAGCACCAGCCCCTCACTTTACCTGGCATCATTCCTAGTGGCCCATCTCAGAAACACGTGGTGCTGCCCAACACATTTAAGCTTCTCATGCAATAGATTAGCAGGGCGGGAAAGACTCACTGTCTTTGCAAGGGCAGTGACTATGGTATTAGGGTGTGGCTATGTTTACACAGTGAGTAAGGGAGAAATATATTTAGATTCCAGTAATTCCACTGGAGTATACTTTGGGACTCCCAGGTCTTGACAGTATGTACACAGATACGACTGAAATGCATAATTGACTCAATGATAATTAAACACATTAGTGTATGACCTCAACTGTTGCAATACACGAGTATGTGTTGGAATCCCCACCGCACTCAGTCCAATGACCCTGCACCAGTCTATCAGAGACAAAATCACACTTGCCCCTACTTCTGGCTATCGCCACCTCATTCCCAAATGATCAGAAGCTGCCATTGTCCATCATTTCAAAACAGATTCCAAATTTTGTTTCAAAATAGATATCATTTATGCACGTCTACATGAGCTTTTCCTCACCTGGCCCACATCATCTTCATAGCACCTCAAGCCACTATCATGGGATTCTGGGAAAGCAGAGAAATGACATCACCCCATGGCATTTGCTCCCACACACAAACGCTGCCCTCCCGTAGCCTGGAGACACTAGGATGTGTGTGCAGCGGGGGAGATTCCGAGGGTGGATGCTCTCATCTTTCCCACGCAGGTGAGCGTGAGGGTCTGAGGATGAAATATGCACCTGGAGAAAGAGACCAGCAGTTGCAGTTCTTCTAAGGTGGACTTAATGTAAACACTGACACTGGTGCCCTCCCCCTATTACTCTGACTTTCTGATCTTAAGAAAAAAGAACTCAAATATTCACAGCACTCTTTCTGTCACTGAACATTGAAGATGCCCAGAAGCCATGAGAGAGCAGCTGGAGCTTCTGGAGAGTTCTGTATGTTTCCACAGCAGGGACCAGTTTGCATGTGATCTGCATATAGACATGGATGGAAAGACTGACAGAATATAAAATGTGTGGCCTGCGAGTGTTTCCTCCCATTCTGTGGGTTGTCTGTTTGCTCTCCTGACAGTGTCCTTGGCTGTGCAGAAGCTTTTCAATTTCATCAGGTCCCATTTGCTTATTTTTGTTGTTGCTGTGATTGCCTTTGGGGTCTGGGGGATGGACACGTGTCGCTCAATGAATTAGTATTAAACGTGTTTTGGGATAGCATTTGTCTTAAGAGTTTTACAGAGCTTTGCCCTGAAAGAATATGTGAACGTGTTGCTTTGCATTTCGAAGGCTGTTACACTCGGAAAGGCGTCTCTGAAAGGCAGTATCGGCTATATCCCATGAGGCGCCGCGTTTCTCAGACCTAAAGAATTGGATCTGCTTTGTAAAGCACAAGCGAATCTGTTAAAAACTATAGGCTGAGAGCTGACAATGGAGTGCCCTCCGGAACAAACAGCTTCCCGGAAACGACAGCTTCCCGAATGGCTAAAAGCAAAGCTTTTGTTTAAACCACTCTAGACTACCTGTCTCCATTGACAATAACCTAATAAACATGGAGCTTACATATCTCTGTTTAACCCCTCTGTTTAAATGATAAACTTACCTTAGAATTTAGAAATTAACCTTTGAAAGACTTTGTAACTGTTTGCTCACATAAATAGAATTAGTTAAAGAATCTGTAGAAGTCTTCTGTAAAAGCCTTTTGAAAATCTGTTGACCTGAGAAGAACTACCTGTTGTAATGTAAATCTGTTACCCCTGACAATTGTTCACTATTTCCTATAAGTTACCATGTAAGACCTCATTCGGGGCTTTTGAGACCGACGGAGAGGTCTGAGCCCCCTGAGCTCCCGCTTTGCCTATAATCTTTATAAACTTATAAAACAATATCTTTGTCTCAGTGTATTCTTTTATTTCTTCCATTTTCCATTTCTCTCTATTATTTTCTTATCCCTTGCAACTCTACCAAAGGGACCCGGTTTTTTGCAGGGAACACTGGCCAATTTCCCCGCAGACACACTTGAAGCTCTGACTTGGGTAGGGCAAAGACAATATATGTAACCTAAACATTTGTACCTCT